GACCCAGGCCTTCGAGAGGTTGAAGAAAGCCATGACCACTGTTCTTGTTCTAGCCCTTCCAGATTTCAGCCAAGCCTTTGTTGTAGAGACCGATGTGTCAGGATATGGGTTGGGAGCAGTGTTGATGCAAAACCACAGGCCTGTAGCATACTTCAATCATGTGCTATCAACTAGGGCAAGACTGAAGTCAGTGTACGAGGAGTTGATGGTGATTATCTTGGTCATTTAGAAGTGGCGCCCCTATCTTTTGGGTCAACACTTCATTGTCCGGACTGATCAGAGGAGTTTAAAGTATCTTTTGGAGTAAAGGATGGTGATCGAGGAGCATCACCGGTGGCTATCCAAACTTTTGGGATACGATTTCGTGATCCAGTACAAGCCTAGTTTGAAAAATAAAGCAGTGGACGCCCTATCCAGATATTTGGGGGAGCTTCAGGAGTTAGCTTTGTCTGTACCATTGATGGTCGACTAGGGGGCCATCAAGGAAGAGAGCAGGTTAGATGAATAATTGGGAAAGATCAGGGAGGATCTGAGGAAGGACAAGAGTAGCCATCCGGGTTACTGCATTGAGGGGGAGAGACTATTGTATCACGGGAGGTTTGTGATGCCACGAACTTCCATAAATATTCCCCACTTGTTGCAGGAGTTCCATGGCAGCGCAGTTGGAGGCCATTCAGGAGTGCAGAAGACATACAGGATATTAGCAACTGAACTCTACTGGAAGGTGATGCATAAGGATGTGGAGGAGATGGTGGCAAGGTGTGAGGTGTGTCAGAGAAATAAATACATGACAATGGCACCAGGGGGTTACTCCAACCACTGGCACTTCCAAACAGAGTATGGGAGGAAGTGTCCATGGATTTCATCGATGGCCTACCCCGCTCAGAGGGATTCACAGTCATCTTGGTAGTGGTGGACCGACTCAGTAAGTATGCACATTTCATCCTCCTACGACATCCGTACACCGCGGTATCAGTGGCAGCAGCTTTTATCAGGGAAGTTGTTATATTACATGGGATGCCTGAATCAATTATGTATGATAGAGACAAAGTGTTGTTCCTTAGTCAGTTTTGGAGGGAATTATTCTGAATGCAGGGCATTGTCCTCAAGAGAAGTACTGCCTACCATCCTCAGACAGATGGACACACATAGGTGATAAACTGGAGTTTGGAAACATATTTGAGGTGTTTTGCTTCAGAAACATCATGGAAGTGGGCTCAATGGTTACCATGGGCGGAGTACTGGTACAACACCTTGTACCATTCTGCTTCTCAGATGACCCCATTCAAAGTGTTGTATGGGAGGGACCCCCCACACCTAATACACTATGAGAGAGGAAGTACACCTATCTCTTCAGTTGAACAATACCTAGAGGAAAGAGACCTCGTGTTGGAGGAGTTGAATAAACATCTAGGAAGAGTGCAACAAATCATGAAGAAGCGAGCAGATACACACATGAGAGACATACAATATGAAGTAGGGGAGAAGGAGTACTTGAAGCTAAGGCCCTACAGGCAAAAATCAGTGGCTAACAGGAGAAACAAGAAATTGGCCCCGAGGTACTTTGGTCCCTATGAGATCTTGGGGAAGATTGAAGCAGTGGCGTATTGTCTGAAGTTACCCTCCTCCGCTGCCATACATCCGGTGTTTCATGTGTCACAGTTGATGAGAGCACTTGGAGAGCATGCAACTAGTGTTGAATTACAAGCATCATTGACAGAGGATTTGGAGGTGGTCATAAAACCAGTGGAGCTAGAAGGGGTAAGATTGGATAAAAAGGGAAACAAAGAGGTGTTGATCAAATGGAAGGATCTCCCCGACTACGAGGACACTTGGGAGCCCTATGAGATGGTGAAGCAGCAATTCCCATACTTTCACCTTGAGGACAAGGTGAATCTTTGGGAGGGGAGTAATGTTATGCTTGTACCAGTCCCTGCTGGACCGGTCCGGTTCTACACCCGGTGGGCCAAGACCGGGCGGAACCAAGCAGAGGGGGCGGTAGTTTGGGCGGGCCCAAGCATGCGTTAAACACTTCGTTTGGAGGGAAAATTTGAATTAGAAGGGTGTTTAGGGAATTTGTATCTTTCCTTTAGTTTTAATTAGGGAGTAATGAGGGAATTAAGTTTCATCTTGAATTTGAATGTATTTTTGAGATCTAGGGTTTTTTGCTTTGAGCTCTTGGCATTGCCAGAGATTGGATAGTTGTTCTTCCTCTCGGATTGAAGAAAAAATTGTATCTTTGCTGTTTTATTCATCGTCTAGTGGAATACAAGCTTTTCTTTGAGTTTTCTCTCCGATTTCCCTGGATTGGTGCTGTTTTTCTGCTGTAAACAGCAGATTTCTGCTGTTTTTCTGTTCTGGACAGCAATATTATCGCTGTTAATCTCCGATTTGGGTTAGGGTTGCTTGCGAACTCAAGTATTTCCTATCATCATCTTACAAAGTTGTTTGAAAATTTTAAGATAACAAAATTTATACATTAATGTGGTAATGTGTGAGTTTGTGGTCACTATTGTACACTTCTTGGACTTTATTATTAGCTCTCTAAGTATCTAAACTGACCCCAGCAACATCTCGATAATTTGGTCATGACTGATCGAAACCTCAATCACAAAAATTCAAAGTTTCCATGGCTTAGCGAATTACAACAATAACAACAAGCTTTCATCCTGCTACATGGGGTCGGCAACATGAATCATTTTTCTCTATTGTGTCCTGTTAAGAGTTAAATTCTCATTTAAATCTAACAAAAAGGTCATTTCTAATATTTTCTAACCAAGACTTTTTAGATCTACCTCTTTCTTAACATAAGCCAAATTTAATACATCTAGTCTCCAAACCAGTCATCAAAAGGCCGCCATTTTATGTTATAAAAGAATTCATAAAAGGATTTAGCAATCTTAACAGTCCCAATTAATGATTATTTGAAACAAAAAACCATTGTTTAGGGATCCCAACAACAAACCATCTTTGAGAATATCAAACTGACTCTATGCAAACTGTTCCAAGTTGAGTTTGAAACATATGTAGCAAACATTGGTGCAGCACTATTGTAAGACACGTAAAATTTTTCAAGAGAAGTTTAGTTTTGCAAAACATAAGTGATCAACTTACGAACATGAGCTATAAGCCATAGTCAGAGCCCCCAAGCACTATGAGCATTACTTGATTCACCAAGTGTCTATTTATATAGTGATCACAAATCACTACAACTCTTGCAACCTAACAAAAAATTGATCCGTATGAATGTGAGATCTGTTATGTTCCTACAAAAATTCAATTTCGTGCTTAATCATAAGGCAGGAAAATGTAACAGAGTAGCATGCTCTTAGTCAAAGAACAAGTCTACTGGTTGTTATCCAAAGTATGATCACTGGGATAGAAACTATTAAGGAGCAGCATGCCTCTGATGATGACTTTGCAGATCCATAGAGACATTGCCGCTCCAATTCATTGATCTCCGACTACAAGAAGAGATTGGGATATTTGTTTAAGGGAAATCAGTTGTATATTTTCAAATACATCACTCCAAGATCAATTAATTTAAGATATGCATGTTAGAGGTTTAGGCGCTGATACAAGCTCAATTCTTTTGGCTGAAGTTGCACCACAATGTTCGCCATTATGTAGAAATATCACACATAACATACTTATAATCGCAAAACACAAGTTTGTACATGTTTTTACATATTATGCAGACTATATAGGAGAATTTGAATCTTGATTCTGTCCTTGGATAGCCAAAAGATCAAGAGAAGATTCAATTCAATTATGGTGGTTGTTAATTATTTCTAAAAAATGTCTCATTCTATTGCTTGCATAAAGACTTTTGATGCCATTAACATTGCCTGAATATTTATTAGAGATATTGTCCGATTACATTGGATTTCAAGAAGCCTCACATCAGATTGTGACGTTAAATTTATAAGTTGTTATCATAGGTCCAAGAAGCCTCATACAAGATGGCGATATGGTTACAATTTATCTTCGTAGAGAGCAATTTCCAATCTGCACTTCAAGTTAAGCCATGCAAATTGGACCCTTCTCCAATAGCGCAAAAGTTCAATGATAATGCATATACTTTATTAATGCCACCAATTTAAGCAACTCTCAACATTCAATATTTTTTATAGTTATGAGTAGCACCCTACTGATGGCGTTTTGATCAATAAACAAAAATCGAGTTCTTCTAAAGTTGACGAAAATCTTGGGTAATTACACCCTGTTCAAAGGATAGAACTATCTTTGTCCTCCATTTTCAATAGTTATTTCCCTTATATCAGCTTAAATAATTGTTAATACTAAAGAAGAATCAGTAGTTTACTTTGGCTGCTAAGTTGTTTGTTACTTTACTGTTTTGTTAAAAGACAGTTAAATGGGCAATGTTATATTGGCGGAGCAGCTTTTTTGCATTACTTTTGAAAAATCTCAACCAAATTATTTGGTTCTCCTTCTTCTCCCTTTCTCATTTGTTTGGTTTACACCATAAGCATTATTCCTACAAACTTGACTTGCTTCTTCCAGATGAGAGTTAATCTAGAGAAACATCAGAACTACAATGGTTATTTAAAAGCATCAGATAGAACATTTCTAATCTGAGTCTGTTTGAGCAATAAAAATTATAACGTTTAAGGATTCAATCATATCAATATCATCACGTGTTGAATAGTTATTGTAGAAATTCACAGTATTTCTTATTATATTATATCTTCATTATAAAAGATATTATACTTAACATATTTTGTTTTAATTACCTTTTTTTCTTGCCTCTATGTTTGCACAAAATATATCAATATATTTCTAAATTCAACTAAAAGTCATTACAATTCTTGCTTTCTTGTAACATCTACACGCTCTTATAATATGAATGATATATCAAAGGCTCAATGACTTATTTTAAATGGACAAGAACAGCACATAAAGTTATAGTATAAAAGGTAGACTATACCAAAAAAAAAAAATTGCAAAATGTTGTACAGATAATCATGGTAGAATCAAACCTCTGAATTTGTGAATAACATCAACACCATCGAAGACTCGAATCTGTGAACCAACAGATGTCACCATGACTTGGGATGGATCATCCGGCGCATACTGTTTGAATAAGTTAATTAGACATCTACCAACCCAAAAGCAAATATAGTGTTTTTGCACATTTAGAAAATTAATATCTGGATGTTATTATAATGAACCAATAAAGTCACCATATTATGAAAGTAAATAAGAAAGAAGAATTATGAATATCAAAATATGTATCCTGTAAATTATAATATAAAGAAAGCAAATAAGAAAATTACCTGGAGCCCGGTTATTTTCTTTGCATGCGACTTCTTTTTCTTGTTACTGATATCTACTTGACTTTCTTGAGAAAGTTTATAATCTGTCACACATTTTCAAAAGAAAAAAAATATAGTGAATTCAGTTAGCCACAATGATTTTCAGAAACTTATGCTTTCTAGCAGATATGCAATCCCACATTTGCACTAATTTTTCATTTTCTTAAGAAAGTCAAGCACAACAGGCAATTTTATATATGCCTTGCTGAAATTTTCAAACATATAAATCCAAAAATCATATTCTCCAGGTTCCTCTACTACTAGATTGATCACCTATAGAACCATGATAACCATTCTCTTTGTATGCAAATTCTTGTTGCCAAACATTCAGCATCAAATTGAGTGCTATTTTATTATTCATTGCATGTAATCAAATAGCCATATTTAACGTCAAAAATCAATTATGTGAAATCATAATATCTTAAATTCATCTTCCATTTTCTTCTATCTTTCATAGTGAATCGAACTTATGGAAGACGGACGGTCCATCACCATAGTCAATGTTTTCTTATCTTGAATTTTTTTGCTAATTTTGAAAAGTGTTCAAATTTATACACAGTATTTTTACTCGGGGTTCGAGATTCTAGGGTTACATTTAAATTCTTTTTTTTAACCACCTCTTCAATAGTTTGCAAGAAAATAAGTGTTGTGACTTAATGAATCCTACTTTTTTTTTTTTTTTTTT